GAAAATAGACATTTTCCACTAACTTTTTTTCTTTTTCTTTTTAAACTTAATATTGTGAATTAAGTAAAAGTTTACAGTTTTACATTTGACACTTCATACATATTTTGTTTCGTTTCATTGATTACAATCCTCTCAATGTAACATCACTTTATCCTACTTCCTCTGTGTTTTCTTGTTTCCTTCCTTCTTAACCCTTCTGAATTCCACCCCAAGGCAAGCACCCCTTTCCCACCCACCCCATCTCAAACAGCTAATCATGCCAATGTGTGGGACCTTCACTAACCTCACCGTTCCCCCATGGATTTATACATTGCTTATCTGTAAATCGATCCACAGGGATGAGTTAAACTTTGGACCTGCCTCAGGGTTCCACCAGTTTCCATTCAACCCGCAAACCTGGTCATCTCTGTGACCTTGAACTCAGTTTCATATTCCCACCCTTCTAGGATCTCCCTGTGTGATCCCTTTCAGAGCTATTGGTACTGTTAGCTAGGCATCATCAGCTTCTTCGGTCTCAAAGTCTTCCATAAATCTTTGGAAGCTCCCTCATATGTACAAGGGTGAGTCAAAAATTATCCTTACTCCAGTTATAGTAAAATGGCCGTCCATGTCCACTGCTGATGGAAACATTGAGTGTGCACGTGAAATGATTCTGTTGAATAGACGAGTGACAGTGCATTGATTATGTGGTAAATAATTTTCAAGTCACCGGTGGCTTTGCAAATCATTTTAAAATCAGCCATGGCTATGAAATAAACCACAACAGACTCAGGTTTTGAAAAGTTTGTGTGAGATGGATACTGAAACAACTCATGGAAAAACATAAACAGAAGCATTTAGACATCTGCAAACAAAATTTGGACCAATACTCAAAGGAAGGTGAAAATTTCTTTGGAAAAAATCATTACCAAAGACGAGACATGGATTCATCTCTATGAGCCCAGAGTAAATCGCAGAGTATGGAATGGAAACATCCTTAATCGCCAACCAAGAAAAAGATCAAAAGTCAACCATCAGCTGGAAAATTGTTGTTGCTTACAGTGTTCTGGGATCGTCAAGCACCAGTATTGGAACACTATCAAGAAAAAGGTTCAACAAGCAACAGTACTCATTATGGTGAAGAGCTGAAGCCTAAACTTCAGATTAAATGCACAGGACTGCTATTCAAGGGCATTACAGTACACGTCCACACACACTTCCCTTACTGTTGATACTCTGCACAAACGTCATTTTGAGGTGTTAAAGCATCCTCCCGATAGTCTTGATCTTGCTCCATTGGACTGTCATCTGTTTGGTCCCCTGAAAGCAGGATGAAGATTCACGTCTGATGAAAAAGTGAAGACAACGGTGTATTCATGGCTTTCAGCTCAGCCTAAAACATTTTTTAATAAGGACATACAAAAACTTGTTGACAGATGGACAGAGTGTGTTGAAAAGCAAGGAGATTGTGTCAAAAACAGATGCACTTGACTTTTCTAAGAGTTGATTAAAATAAATTCTACAGCTACAGTGTGGATAATTTTTGACTCACCCTCATAGTTGGGAAAGATAAGAAGAGTGTTTTAAGAACCTTTTTCAAATAATTTTGTATATTTTTTTTCTCCTACACCTAAATTTGAGAAATGGTCACGTATAATCTGAAAGCATACTAAACATTTTATATTTTGTTAAAATCCATTTTTTATCTGGTACTTGGTTGGAGTCCTGGTGTGGCATTATAGGATAAGCACTAGCGTGCAAACCACAAGGTTGGTGGTTCAAACCCACCAGCTGCTCCTCGGAAACCCTGTATAAGATCACTATGCATCAGCACCAACTTGATAGCACTTAACAACAACAAAACCTTGCACTTAGATTGGATCTTATACCCATGCATAATTTTGTAACATCGTGGATTGGTTATTTGGAACATTTTGGTTCTCTTAGTTGTTTACAAATTTTAAGATCTCATTTGGTAATACTATTACCAGTTTCATCAGAAAAGTTGATCTATTGGAAAGCTGTTGAGCTCTGTGATGAACATAAGATTTCCAAATGTCGAGCTTTTAAAATGAAAATCTTAATGCTATTCTTGGCAATAACAAATACTGTCAGTGGTTTTCTTTAAATGATAGTCTCACTATATTCCTTTGAGAGAAAATAACTGCCAAATATCCAAGGTCTTAATAAGCAGGATTTGTCTGTCAGTCACTCTTTCAAGTAAAAATGTTGGTGAATGGAACAAGCTATAGTTCATCTCACAATTCAAATAATTGTACAAGTCCTTTTCCTTGAGACAGTACCATACTTTGTTCATATGCTGAAGTGCCTTTATGACTATTTCACGTTTAGTCACACAGAATATTAAAAACCATGTACTCTAGAGTCAAGGTTTAATCAAATAAGCCATCTTTAATAAGCTGTTGCTTTATCAAGGACATTTATAAATAAAACTTAAAAACAACAAAAAAAATACTGAATTGTGGTGATGAAGACCAGTGACAGGTAATACAGGTGGTCCTTACCTTGATTCATACTATGATGCCAATACTTTTACCCACTATTGTTTCAATGCAACTATCAACACAGTGAAAAAAGCAAATAACATCTTAGTGTTGTTTTAGAAATGGTGTTGACCCCAGGAAACACCTGAGCATTTTCAGTATATAATTCTTATTTTTCATTGCCCTTCATTTCTTTGATATATTTTGATTAATGTGTTTCTCTGTTTTTTAATTGGATAGGTAAGACCTCTTTATATATATTTGTCATATTTGTTACAGATATCCTCCCACTCCCATTTGCTATTTGCTTTAAAATCTCTTTTATAATGATTCTAGAATTTAGAAGCTTCGAATTTTTAAGTATCCCCCTTTTAAGATGAATTATTTTTGTATCAGGTTGTTGTTTTTGTCTACCCCTACCCACCCCTGCCTTCATATTCTTGTATGGGCATATTCCACCCAAGAGAATATAAATAAAATCACCTGTACTTTCTAAGGAATTTATGACTTACATCGTAAGTCATCTGTCTGGAACTTATTTGAGATTTTGTTTTCAGGCAGGGATCTATTTTCATTTTTTCCTCAAATGGTTGTCTGTTACTAAAACATTGGGTATTGATTAATCCTTTCTTTTTCCCCACTAATTTGTTAATTTATATTATCTACTAAATTTTAATTTATACTTTCATTTCCTTTTGAGTGCTGACAATATCTTAGGTTTTGAAATAGAAAATTTTATGCTGTGTTGGGGTAGGGAAATGGTTAAATATCCTCCTGGTGTGACACTGTTGGCAAATACGCTGGACTGCAAAGTCGGTTTGAACTGCAAGGTTGGCGGTTCAAGCTCACCAGCCATTCCTTAGAAACCCTATCCAGGGTCGCTATTGGTTGGAACCAACTCGACGGTACTTAACAACAACAACAATATAGATTCTCTGATTTAAACTGATTTTGATCACTTTTTTTTAACAGAAAGAAAATTTATAGGAAAAGAAAAATAATATTAAAGCGGACTGTTGTTGTTAGTACCCTTGAGTCAGTTCCAACGCATAGGATTTACAAGGAGTTGCTGGTGGGTTTGAAATGCCAACCTTGTGAATGAAGTATAATTGTTGTTGTTGTTGAAGTATAATAGTATAATGTTGTTGTTGTTAAGTGCCGTTGAGTCGGGTCCGACCCATAGCGACCCTGTACAGGGTTTCCGAGGGTGTAAATCTTTACGGGAGTAGAAAGCCTCATCTTTCTCCCGCGGAGCAGCTGGTAGTTTCGAACCGCTGACCTTAAGGTTCGCAGCCCGATTCGTAACCACTACGCTACAGCCTAAATTTTCACAACAAAGATGATTTTTGAGGAACCAGAAATTGTTCTTCAACTATTGTATTCAAGCATAATCTGTATTTATGTCAGCAAAGAGTGCTTAAGGAAAACTGCAGTTAACTTTTACAGGCTTGTTATCTGTTACATTGTTAGTTACATTGAAACTAATGATAGTGAAGCCAGGATCAAAGGTTTGCTGTATTAGACAGTTAATTTTACAACATGAGAAGCACCTCCATCTTAGTTCTTATGACTTAGTTCTTGACTTTTTCAGAGAAGGTAAAGTTGTCTTAGTAGAAATTAGCGTTACTTCTACAGAAACACATACAAATTCAAATTCCATTTATAAAAGATGACTGAACTGTGACTTTTGTGTTTGAAGGGGCTCATCCTTCACTGAAGTTGATGCCGTTATGATCACTTCCTTAGTTTTTACATTTATAAAACAAATTATTCATTTATTTTCATTGAGAGGAAGCGGTTTTTTTTTTTTTTTTTTTTTTAAGGTAACCTTTAACATAGAGAGTCGTCTTGGAACTAGATTTCAGGTTTCTTATGCCAGTAGCCATGTGTTAACTTAATTTTAAGCATTTTAATTTCTATTCCTACTGTCCTTTTAAAAATTCCCTTATTTGGCACATGTAAATTCATTTAAAGGAGCTCTGGTAGCGTAGTGGTTACAAATCAGGCTGCTAACCTCAAGGTTGGTAGTTTGAAACTACCAGCCATTCTGCAAGAGAAAGATGAGGCTTTCTTCTGCTCCCGTAAAGATTTATAGCCTCGGAAATCCTGTGCAGGGTCACTATGAGTTGGAACCGACTCCACGGTACTTAATAACAACAACAAACTCATTTAAGCTATGGAAGAAATCAGTAAGTCCTTTTAATATAACTGTCTGATGGTGATGGTCTTGATATTTTTTAGGTTCTCAAGAAGGACATAGAATACGAAACTTATTAATGTCTAACAACAACAAATAAGTTTGAAGTACCTAGTAAATTGCATAGCGGTATGAGTTGTTAGGTGCTGTCGAGTTGCTTCTGGCTCATAACAACACTGCAGAGGGTTTCCAAGGCTGTACATTTTTGTTAGAGCTGTACATTTTGTTAGTGTTGGGCTATCTATTTTGGGTAGCATTTAATTTAATTTTAAATAAAAGTAAAATTTTTCTGACTTGCTGTGTCCCTGCCTCTGTCCCAGGATTGGACTGGTCTGAAGAGAGTGGAGAGGAGCTGGAGGACTCAGAGCAGGCTTCGCCATACCAAGTTGCATGGTCTATCCGAGAAACCCTCAGATATGAAAGACATGCGTAAGTCTTCCTTTGGGTTTTGGTTCTTAAATTACCATTATTATAGCAAGTTGACTTTCCCCTGTCTTTGCTGATGTTATTTATTTTGTTAGGTCTAGTGTTATTACAAGGAGGCAAAATAGAGTAAACTTGGGAAGAAATTTACTATATTGGTTGAAGAAACCTCTCACATTTTCTTTCTTTCTTTTTTAAAAATTTATTTTAAAGTTTTTATTGTGAATTGGGTGAAGATTTACAGAGCAAATCATCAGCTTTACATTCAACAAATGATACACTTTATTTCATATCAATGATTGAAATCCCCTGCCTGCAACAACAGTTATCCTACTTCCTCCTTGTCATTCGGGTTCTTATTTCCATTCTACTCGCCTTCCCAGCCTTTCTGAACTTTGCCCTTACTCAAATGTTGTGCTGTTGATTTTGAATTGTTGCCCAGTCCATGGTGAGCATACCTTATTAGTGTTGTTGTCCCACCCTACATACCTGTCTACTGCTTGGTTTAGAACTGGATCATGAGCGTTCCAGACCTAAAGGGTGGCTGAAAGCCCTAGTCTCAGGTTCCTCCAGTCGCTTTCTGACCAGTAAACATGGTCTTTTTGATAATTTTGAGTTTTGCTCACATTTTTTCCACTCTATCTGGATCTTCTAAAGCTATCCCTGTCAGAGCACTGGGGAGTGGTAGTTTGGTTTCAGAATCATCTTCTGGTCTCAGAGTCATGGTGACTGACAGTCACATAGTCCATTCACCAAATGAACTAGTTGATTCCAGGCATCCTCAATTTTCATCACTTCTTTTCTCCGCATATGGAGAAATCTTCAATAGTTGCACCATGGACGACCTTACGTTTTCTCTTTCTTTTGGATGAAATAACCATGGAATGAATATTGGGATATTTTAACCCAAAAAATGACTTTAATTTTTTATTTTGGGGGTTCCATTTATTTCCTTTTCAGGCCTGTGTGATCATTCTTGTTAGTATTTTGTTCTTATCTGCGTAAATCAATTTTGTATCTGACAATTTTAACATTTGGGGTCCTTGTACTTTTCATCTGTCATTTATGGGGGTTTTTTCTCTGCTTCTCATACAAAGTAGTTTGCATTGTAATCTTTGATTGCATGGTCCTCTCTGATTGTTCTGGTTCAGAATTTATCCTGACATCTCAGATTGTGCATTTCTTACTGTGCGGTGGGGTTGAGACTTTGTAGCCTGTGTTGGAGCTCCTGTCAGCACTGGTGCTGGGGCCAGCCCCTTTCTCCCATTCCCTCACTGCTTCCAGCTCTAGCTTCAGCTCTGACTTGTTCCTTTTTTATTTTCATGACAACTTTTGAGGTCAACAGTGTTTCCATACTTTATCCAGTATGTAGTTGCTTTAAATTGGAAAGATCGTTTATAATGTAGAGACTGCTGTAGTGCCATAAGTCTGTTGTCTATTCTTTTTTTTTCTTGATATCTCCCCAATTTTTTCTCGTTCTGGACTTTTCTCTGAGCTTCAGCTACCTACTGCATATGTCTCATCAAACATTCTATCAACATTCTAAATTCAACTTTTCTAAAATTAAACTCATTATTTGCTTCAGTATATTTGCCTCTTGTTGATTTCCGTATTTTTGTTAGAGGATTTACCTTTTTTTGGTTGTTGTTTTAATAAAACAAAATGAATTTTATTTGGAGAATTACATGTTACCTCTTGAGTTTACATACAAGCCTGGAACCTTAGAAATTAGGTTTGGAATTTACTGCTCTGTATTTGGGGCTACCAGTAGCAAGGTTCTTCCTAGTCTGTCTTTGTCTGGAAGCTCAGCTGAAACCTGTCCACCGTGGGTGACCCTGCTGGTATTTGAAATACCTGTGACATAGCTTCCAGAATCACAGCAACTCACAAGTCACCACAAATGGAATAAACTGACAGACTAGGAAGCTGGAGAGACAAACTACTTCCAAATATTTAGTCACTGAAAACCTTATGAATAGCAGAGAAACATTGTCAGATATAGTGCAGGAAAATGAGTCCCTCAGGTTGGAAGGCACTCAAAATGCGACTGGGGAAGAGCTGCCTCCTCAAAGTAGAGTTGACTGTCATGATGTGAATGAAGTAAAGCCTGTGGGACCTTCATTTGCTTATGGGGCACAACTCAAAATGAAGAGAAATGGCTGTAAACATCCATTAATAATTGGAACATGGAATTTACGAAGTATGAATCTAGGAAAATTGGAAATTGTCCAAAGTGAAATGGAACACATAAACATCGATATCTTAGGCATTAGTGAGCTGGAATGGACTGGTATGGGCCATTTTGAATCTGACAACCACATGGTTTACTATGCTGAGAATGACAAATTGAAGAGGAATGGTGTTGCATTCATCATCAAAAAGAACATGTCCACATCAGTCATGAAGTACAACGCTGTCTGTGATAGGATAATATCCATGCACCTACAGGGAAGCCCAGTTAATACCACTATTATTCAAATTTATGCACCAACCACTAAAGCCAGTGAGGAGGAAATAGAAGAATTCTATCAACTTCTTCAATCTGAAATTGATCAAACATGCAGTCAAAATGTATTGATCATTACTGGTGATTGGAATCCAAAGGTTGTAAACAAAGAGGAAGGATCAGTAGTTGGAAAATATGGCCTTGGTGATGGAAATGATGCTGGAGATCGCATGATAGAATTCTTAAAACCAATGACTTGTTCATTTCAAATATCTTTTTTAAACAGCATAAGAAAAGACCTCACTGGATGGAATACACAGTAATCAAAGTGACTACATCTGTGTAAAAAGAAGGTGGAAAAGCTCCCTATCATCAGCCAAAACAAGGCCAAGGACAGTTTGTGGAACAGACCATCAATTGCTCACATGCAAATTGAGACTGAAGCTGAAGAAAATGAACACAAGTCCACAAGAGCCAAAATATGGCCTTGAATATATCCCACCTGAATTTAAAGATTATGTAAAGAACAGATTTGATACGTTAGACACTAAAGACTGAAGACCGGAAGAATTGTGGGATGACATCAAGAACATCATACAGGAAGAAAGCAAAAAGTCATTAAGAAGATAAGAAAGAAGGAAAAGATCAGAATGGATGTAAGAAGAGACTATGAAATTTGTTCTCCTGCATAGAGATGCTAAAGCAAATGGAAGAAATGAGGAGATACTAGAGCTGAACAGAAAATTTCAAAGGTCAGCTTGAGAAGGCAAAATCAAATATTACAACAAAATGTGCAAAGATCTGGAGTAAGAAAACCAAAAGGTAAGAACACACTCAGTATTTCTCAAACTGAGGGAACTGAAAAGAAAAAAAAATCAAGCCTCAACTTTCATTATTGAAGGATTCTCTGGGCAAATTATTGAATGATGCAGAAAGCATCAAAAGAAGATGGAAGGAATACAGAGTCACTGTACCAAAAGGAAATGGTTGATGTTCACACATTTCAAGAGGTAGCATATGATCAAGAACCAATGATTCTGAAGGAAGAAGTCCAAGGTGCATTGAAGGAATTTGCAAAGAACAAGGCACCCGGGCAGTGTTTTGTTCTGTTATGCATAGGGTCATTATGAATTGGTACCTACTCAATGGCACCTAACAACAACAACAACAACAGTAGCAAGGTTGGTGGTTCAAATCCACCAGCTGTTCCTCAGAAACCCTGTGAAGGGACACTGTGTAGCAGTAAAATGTTCCAACAGTAGCATTTTTGTGGTAATTATGCTTGTATTCATACTGTACTTTTACATAAATATTTCATTTCATTCTCTTAGCCACTTCGGGAGATAGGCAGAAAAGCCATTTCTATTATTTGACAGATGAGGAAAGTTAAAGGAGAAGGGACAGCAAATTCTATGAACACATAAGGGGCCAGGCCTTGCTATTCCTGGTAAACAACAGGAAACTAAGCTCAGGCCCTCTTCTTCCCAATTCACGACTCTTCCTCAGCAACTAGATTTGAAATAGTAACTTCATAGCATCTTAGAAGTGGGAAGCTTCGGGATTTTCTAGTTTAGGACCATACCAGGGATGGTCTGTGGACTGCTTGTAGCTGGCCCCCAACAAGATGAACTTAGAAACTGAGAAATACGCTCTAGAAATATTGATAGTAACCTAACGTATCAATTTCCAACTGTGTCTTAACAAACACTCGTCTTGTCCATCCTCCCAGCACTACTAGTCATTTGTATAATGGTTTTGACAAGTGGTTATCCACCCAAGCTTTAATTGAAAAAATTTCCCCTTTAAAACTTGCTGTTTTTCTTTACTTTTTCTGTTAATGGTACTTCCATTGTCCTAGTTATCGAGATTCAAAGCCATTGAGTCATTATTGACATTCTTATCCACCATATCCAGTAGCCACATTGAGTTAATTCTTTTATGGTAACGGCCCTTATGTCTTGCTCTGTTAACTCTGACTTTTTACTGCTAGTCATTCCCTTGCCTTTAATAAGTTAGTTGTTGGCTCTGAAATCTGTCTCTTCCTAACTATGGTCCAGTTTATAATTGTTGTTGTTGTTAAGTGCTGTTGAGTCGGTTCCGGCTCATAGCAGCCCTATATAGGGTTTTCAAGGAGCAGCTGGTGGGTTTGGCCTTGTGGTTTGCAGTTTAGTGCTGATCCTATAGTGCGCCACACCAAGTGTCTATAAGTATAGGAGTTTACCATTACAAATGGTTTTTCTGCAGCTTCCCTTGATATTCCACTACTTGTACTTTGAGTTAATTTTGCCCCAACAATGCTCTTGTTCCTGTTTCTTACTTTATAAATGGGTACTGGGAGGGTTAGAGAAAAAGAGGAAGACCTCCAATGAGATGGATTGGCCAGGTGGCAGCATCGATAGACTCAAGCATGGCAACAATAGTGAGGTTGGCCCAGGATCAGGCAGTGTTTCGTTCTGCTGTGTATAGGGTTGCTATGAGTCGGTACTGACTCGATGACACCTAACAACAACAACAACAACAACAATCTTCCCCAGACTTCGTCAGTGGGAACTGTTGAGTGACTGATTTCTAAATTGCCCTCCTCTTCCTCCATTTATTCTGTGGCTGCTAACAATATAATCTTTGTCATGCATAGCTCTGTCATTGTATTCTGTTTTTTTAAATCTTCAAAGGTTCTTCATTGCTTTTGGAATAAAGGTTAAGCTCCTTACCCAGTATTTTGGTTTAGAAAGTTCATGTAAACTACCACTTAGCCAAACTGACCTACTTAGTACTTATTGGTTTTCATCCAAGGAACCCTGGTGGTGCAGTGCGTTGAGTATTGGACTCGTTGTTGTTGAGTGCCTTGGAGTTGATTCCAACCCATAGCGACCCTGTATGGTTTCCAAGGAGCAGCTGGTGAGCTAGAACCACTGATCTTGTAGTTCTAATGACTTTGCAGTCAGACGCATTAGCCCACAGCACCACGCCAGGACTCCTAACCTAATATTCAAAATCATCAGCTGTTCCCGGGGAGCAAAATGAGGCTGTCTGCTCCATAAAAATTTTCAGCTTTGAGTCAGAATCAACTCCATGGCAGTGGATGGATTCCCCATCTGCCGATCTCTAAGTCTTTGCTTGTATTGATTTATCCATGTCAGCTTCCCTATGTTTCTCATCTTCAAATTGTACATTTTCTTCTGTGTTCAGTTAGATTGTCATCTCCTATACAAAGTTTTCTCTGTAACCTTAGCATGCTTTCCAGTGAACTTGAGAAGTACTTTGTACTCATGGCTGTACTAGAACTCCCAGTTGACTGATGATCTTCTATGAGACTTCAGGGAATGTTTCAAAATCAAGTCTTGGGCTCCACCCCATGGAGATTCTGGCTCAGTAGATCTTGAGTAGGTCTTGGGAACCTGAAATTTTTTAAAGCGCCTAGGTTTCACTTATCTGTACACTGTCACTAGAAACATTTGTCTGTCACACAGATTTGGTCACTGCTTTGCCCTCTTTTGAATGATTTAACTTGGAGATGTTTATCTTGTCTAAATTGCATTGTTACTCCTGGAAGCTTCTATCTCTTCTCCATAGTGCCTAGCATACAGAATAGTAGACACAGCATAATTGTTGAGTGTTGAATACGTAGAAGAATTTGTGGATCTGCAGTAGAAATAATAGATCATCCTACATGTGTCTTAGGAGAGTTACCAAACAGAAATCTGCAGTATAGCCTGCTCTAGGCAGCCCAGAAGGAAAGGGTTAATGCCACATAAGAAGAGAGGAGAAATAAACCAATGAGTCACAGATTAGTAAGATAATATATTTAGTGTGTGGTATCAAACACATGGTTACTTGTAGTAGAAGAGAAAGGAGGTAAAATAATGTCTGTTTTCAAGTCTAGTGTGCATTATTCCAAACAGTAAAATGTGAGTTTACACTTGGTTCATAGAACAGGAACCTGTGTAACCCCCCACTGGTGGTAGGCACTATGGACAGACCACTGCCCTCTTTCCTGTTGGGCCTGGATGTGCCTTCAGCAACCAGCTGACATTAGCATGGAGAAAAAAACCTTTCCTGAATGTCTGATCTATGAAATGCTCCCAGAGTTTCAAACAAAAAAAAAATTACTACAGTGATCCGTACAATCAAAATTTTGTAAGTGCTTAGCAATAAAAGGGTAGTTTAAAAACCTGTATATCTAAAATGACAGCTATTTGATAATGTACTGTAAGAATTCATTGTACTACTTCTAATGTGACCTATGTTTTATGAAATTATACTGAGTGATTCTTCATAACTGCCATGTTATTATTATTTTTTTTAGATGTTTACTTGTGTTTTATTGACTATGGAGAGGTTTGTTTTTTTTTAATGTTTTATTGTGAATTATGTGATAGTTTACATGGGAGAACATTAATTTTACATTCATTCTATCGTATATCGTCTCATTGCCATGGTTACAATCCCCTCCATGCATCATCAACCAACCAAAGGGTATACCCTGCAATCCTTCCCCCATATCCCCCAGGTCTTCAGCACATAGTCGCTCTCCCTCTTGGATCTAAAGTCTCCAGCTGCTCCATTGCTCCACGTCATCCTCTCTGCCTCCATTTCAGGCATCACTGCTTCTCTGGGTAGGGTCCCGCTCTCTGCTCTTCTCCCTTGATGGTCCTAGGGACCTCCACTCCTAGACTGAAAAGTTAATCACTTCCATCCTTGCTATAAAATGTCTACCTTTACATTTCCAACCCTCACAATCAGTCCTGATAACAATTATTCACTATTGTATCACAAGAGACCTGTCTGCATTTCATTGCATCAGCCCCGCCTAGACAGATTGAATACTACTCACTGGAGATTCTGCCTTCCTCCAGGCCCTCTGGATCTAGGTTCCCTCCTAAAAGCTTGTAAGCTAGTCACTTCTTGCCTTTGTAGCCCCCCGCCCCCCATTTTGGGTAGCCAATGACCAAGTTGCCCATCCCTGTCTACTCTGTGTGCGGAGGGCATGTTATTTACTTAGAGGCTTTAGTAAGTAAAGGTGAAGAAATAATTCCCACCCTACCCCCCCAAGAACCCCTATCTTGTAAACTTTAGAAGACAGTTTGCTGGTTCCGAAGCTTTATCCACATGATGCCGGTATTAGTTAACATCATGTTGTGTGGCTGCCCCTGCTGGTGGCATGCCTTCTTTGCTCCCTCTGAATAGCCTCTGAGCTGTCATGGAGAATGCGGTGTTGCTTGGAGGCACCATGGTCCAGGACTACACCCAGATGAGCAATCTGCAGCAGCCTCGGTAAAAAATGAAGAGATCCTGAATTCCCTTTCAAGCACATTATACCAGGAGACGGATTCAAGCCTAACTTCTTTTCAAGAAGTGCGAGGTGAACAGTGCGCAGGCTCGGCCACTCTGTCTTCTTGCAGCATCTGCTGCCAGTGCCCAGCAACAATACCACTGCACTCATGACCGACCCTAAGCTTATCACCTGGTTTCTAGTGTGCCGCAACGACGTCGCTTGGAACTTCTGGAAGTTCCTGGTGGGCCATGACGGTGTACCTGTGTGCAGGGACTGCTGCTGATATCCAACCATCGGCATCAAAGCCTTCATGGAGGCTCTGCTATCCAAGAGACTCAGCTTTACCTAGGGTGCACCTCCATCCCTGGCTGCCAGGCAGTCACTAAGTTGCCTTCCTCAGGGTTTCATTAATGATGGTGTTCCTCTAAACCTGAGTGCAGGAACACCTGATGTCCTGGGAAGTCCCCTGATGGTCTCTAACCCTGCCACTCCCAGGCTCCCCTTCCAGACCAAGACAAATTGCCCCACTAATACAATGCCCGGTATAACAACAACAAAACATTTAGAAGACGCTGCTGCATTAGATGTCTAACTATGACATGCTAAAATGGGTACACTTATTTTTTGTTAACTTTTTATTGTGAATTGAGTGAAGGTTTACACAGCAGATCATCCATTTTACATTCAGCAAATCATATACTTTGCTTCATTACAGCGACTACAATCCCCTCCATGAGCCATCAGTATTTACCTGTATTCCCTTTAACTCTGGCACTCCTCCCTGTGTCTGCCACTACCTTCATCTTTCCTCTGCTACCTCCTCAAGATGAAAACCATTTGGTGGGGACTCTACCATCCTTTGCACATTCTTTCCCCCACCCCCACCCCGCACACTCTTAAACTAAATTCTCTTTTGAAACCCTGTAAGCCAGTCACTTTGTGCCTTTATTGCCCCCTCATTTTAGGTAGCCAGTGTCTAAGTTGCCCGTCCCTATCTACCCTGTATACAGAGGGGGATAGCATTGATACTTGATGTGATGTGAAGACTCCTTCCCTCTCAGTTGGTATTTTGAGCTACTACATCCATGAGTATAGGTCAAGTTAATCAAATTGTAGCAATTTACATTCATTTCCTTTATGAAAAAAAATTTTTTTTTAATCTTCCTGTAGTTGAGTTATGATTATTAAGCCATCCAGGCTAGGTCAGATGGGTACTATCGGCAAGTTTGGGAGTTCTTGTGCGTTTCCCCTCACTTCATATCAGCTGGATGCTTCACTCTCAGCTCTAACCCTCTGTGGCTATGTCTTTGTCTATGGGTTCAGGTGTCCCCAGGTCTCACCACATTTCGGACCAACCAGCCCTTTCTCTTCTCTCTCTCGTCTCTAGGAAAATGGGAGTCTATGGAATATGGTTGAACTCACCCCGATTCTTCATTGCTGCATTTTCCCCTCTTCCACTCACCAGTAGACCAGTGTGGTTGCCAGCAAGTTTACATGCCTGCTCATGTGTTCCCTTTGATTTTCAGTTTTGGAGTGGAGTTTGTGTTAAAGAGACTTGATTGCTTGCCTTGATGGCTCCCTGGCAAGCAACTTCCTTGTTCTTGTAGTAGTCAATCATATTGCCATTCTTGTTTTGAATTTTTCCTGCTGATCTTTCTTTGAAGATGCATATTCTGTTGCTCTAGCTGTTCCAGGCTGGTCTGCTTGTCCTTTCTAGTGGGAATGTCCCACCTCAGAAGGTTCTGGATGGGGTGAGATAGTTTCTTTTATTAAGAAAACCTTTTCTTAACTTTTTACAACATTGGTCTCAACAATATTTGCCCATTTGTGATTGACTAATTTCATTCAGCCGAACGTCCTTCAGATTCATCCCTGTTATGAGGTGTTTACACACAGATTCATTGTTATTTTCATCATGTATTCCATTGTGTGTATATACCAAAGTTTGTTTCACCAGAAAATGGTTGCACTTATGAAGTGCTGGATGATTGTCTCTACTGCCCGACTTGTTTTGGACTTTATTGAAATTCTGTTACTCTGATATGTTAAGGATGTGCTGACTTGCACATTGCTTTAAACCTGTGCAGCCAGCCACCCTTCCTCATTCTGTTCCATTTTTCTCCCTGCTCTTTCCAGGTCAGATGATGATGACACCGAGAGTAGGAGCTCCAGGGTGACCCAACTTTGCACTTACTTTCAGCAGAAATATAAGCACCTCTGCCGCCTGGAGCGGGCAGAATCTCGACAACAGAGATGCCGGCATACTGTTCGGAAAGCCTTGCTGCAGGCAGCCAGTAGAGAGCCAGAATGTGCTGGGCAGTTACTACAAGAGCTGCAGAGAGCTGCGTGTGGTCGAACCAGGTTAGAGCCAGCCGTAGCCACCTGCTTTTACGGAGCTTGTATCAGTCTCTTTTCTGTGTTTCTTGAGAGGACAGTGAGACCAAATGGGAGAAGGGCTTAGAGCCCGAAGCATTAAAGCACTGTATTTTGGTTTGGTTGCTCATGTAAATTTCCTCCTAGGTGGCAAGATAATATTGCCATGAGTGGCTAGTAAATTAATGCAGCTCTATAATTTTGTTGGAGTTTGCTTAGAAATTATTCAGTAAATAATTTAAAAATGTTTACCTGTCTTAAAAAGCAAAACAATAGCAATGCTTTGAAATTGTTTGTGGTTCTTAAAGGAGTATATACATTTCCCGCAGCACCCCCTCCCCCTGCCTTAACTAGGGAGGTTTTTTCAAATTTAGAAGGCCTACTTCTGTACTGAAGGAGCTCTGGTAGTGTAGTGGTTACGAATCGGGCTGCGAACCTTAAGGTCAGCAGATCGAAACTACCAGTCGCTCCGCGGGAGAAAGATGAGGCTTTCTACTCCCGTAAGGATTTACACCCTCGGACAACCCTGTACAGGGTCGCTATGGGTCAGAACCGACTCTACGGCACTTAACAAACAAACAAACAAACTTCTGTACTGAGTTTATTATTTCACACTTTTTATTTAGCTTGTTATGTTTTCACAGGACAACTTTGAGTATATATGAATACAAAAAATCTTTGGCATTTATATCCTGAAATTAATGGTTGTTAGCACCTGATGATGGGATTTTAAATTAGAGTTAAGGAAAAAATCTTAGTCTGTCTATTCTAGTTACCCTACACTGATTATGAGCCACTTAAATAAAAAAGATGTTAAAACAAATTGAAAAATATATAACCTTTATGTTGTAGCTACTGATTATATTATGGTGGTAGTGTTCCAGCGAGTTGGTTCCAACTCATAGCCACCCTGTATATGCATATAATAATTTTTAAAAGTTTTTTATATAATTTGGTTTTTATTATATTCACTCTTTAAAAAGTATTCTAACTTTCAATTGTATATTTCACAAAGATATGATACCCTTAAAAGTTTTTTGTTTCTTGGCATGTTTAGAGTTGTCTGAAACTGCTTACATATCACATATGCTTCACAGTGTAGCTGTAGTTTCTAGTACCTTCTCTTTCTCTTAGAGCTCCTTCTGTTCCTCTGCTGAAAAGGCAGACTCTGTCCTAGAACATCCTTTAGGTCTCAGTTTACACATAACCTAAGAGGAACCGTACTTGATTCCCTTGGCTATGTTAGGTCCCCTTGTTATATATGGTGCTATGCTGCATTGTGGAATTTTATGATTACATTTATGTCTGTTTGCTTTGCTGGATAGTAATTTGCTTGAGGACAGGAACAGTGTCTTTTTCACCCCCCCTCAAATTTCCAATATTGATGAATCATTGAAAATATTTGAATTGTTGAAAATCAGTTCTCTTTGTTGAAATAATTTACTAAGTTTGACATGGGTTGTTGTTGTTAAGGACCATTGGTTGAGTCAGTTCCGACTCAGCAATCTTGTATATGGTTTCCGAAGAGCAGCTGGTGGGTTTGGACATAAGTTATAAAGTAATGTTTAATATTCTCCAGTAGTAAAAGTGCATCACTGATAATCATGTAGCAGTTATCTCTCCTTGGTGACTGGTAACTTCCTACCTCACATCAGTAAGGAGCTAAGGTGTCTGAAAAGAGCCCTGGTAGTGCTATGGGTTAGGCTGCCCACCACGAGGTCAGGGTTCAAACCCACCAGTCACTCCTCAGGAGAAAGATGGGGCTGTCTGCACTCCTGTCCATTTACCGCCTCAGAGACCCTGTGAGTTGGAATTGACCAGATGGCAGTGGGCTTGCTGTAGTGGTAAGGTTGGTCGCTCCTCGGAAACCTGATACAGGGTCACTATGAGTTGGAACCAGTTCAATTACTCTTAACAACAGCAACAGTAAGGGCACTAATAAAATAAATGTTTATTGTAGAGAGAGTGGGAATTCGTAAATCATGGGACATGGGTGGGAAGAGGATTCTTCAGTACCTAACGTCATTCTTTTGATTTGGGGGAATCATGTAAATGCATTATCTATCCATAGAATTCAGATATACTGTTAAATATTTAAATATTAAGTATATAAATGAAGATACCATTTAAACAATGAAGCATTTATCAGGGTGCAGTAGCCAAATCACGATGATGATTGATGATGATCAAAGCAGTGGCTAACACCCAGTGGTTATTTGCACCATTCTGTGTCTTGCATGATAAGCGTTTTAGGTGGGTGATATCTTTTGATGTTCACAGCAACACTGTCAGCTAAAGGTATCCTTAGGGTGCCCTTTACAGGTGGGGAAATTGAAGCTCCCATGAGGCTAAATAACAAGCCACACAGCTAGTAAGGGGTAGAGGTGAGATTCAGAGCCAGGTCTGTCTGATTCTGGTATCATGAATCTTCATTACTTTTCTCTACTGCCTCTTAATGAAGTAAAAGGAACCAAATTGTGACTTAAAACCACACAGATGGACATTTAGGAAACCTCTGTAATGTAATTACAATTTGCTTGGGTTGTCAGTAGATCAGGGAAATACTGGAACTCGTCATTGTCATATTGCTTTCTTCACCTGATTTGAATTTTATTTGGTGACTAAATAGTTAAAGGAGCTCTGGGAGCATAGTGGTTATCAGTTGGGCTGCTAACCTTAAGGTCAGCAGTTGGAAACTACCAGCCATTCCATGGGGAAAGATGAAGCTTGGAATCCTGGTGTGGCACTGTGGGTTAATGCGCTGGACTGCAAAGTCGGTTTGAACCATAAGGTTGGTGGTTCAAGCTCACCAGCTGCTCCTGGGAAACCCTATACAGGGTCACTATGAGTCGGAACCAACTCAATGGCACTTAACAACAGCAACAAGATAGTTAAAATGTGGGTGTTACAGAGTGGTGACATAATGTTGAAAACTGCCTTGGATTCTTGATGCATTTAAAAAAAAAAAAAAATTTTGTGTTTATTCTTTCTTAGCATAAGCCGGACCAATTTGAGAGAGGTGGAGCCAGCAGTGTGTAGTGGAACCGGGAAGGGTGAATCCTGCACTAACAGAGCCCTTCCATTCACCAGGCATTGTTTCCAGCGTATCCTTTGAGCTGAATTGAGAGTACATTATAAAACTATTAGCTGATTTGTGGTAATGTTATAGTATAACTTCTCATTTTTTTGAAGTCCTTTGGATATTTTAATACATAGATCATTGTGATTCTGCATTCAGGAATCACACAGAATGTGCAAAGTTCAAAGAAATGTTCTTTCAGTAACTGTAAATTATATTTTAATAGCACAACTCTGACTCCTCAGGTGGTTCCATACAGCTTGTCAGAAATGATTATCACGCTCATTGATGGAAAAAATCAAATGACATGATTCAAAAAATATTTTTTGATCTTTTAAGAAAGTTATATAGTTTTATGCTCTGATTTTTACTATAGAATTTATTCAATATTTACCATGATACAGTATTGATTTTAAATGACTGAAAGGTGAATGTGTAACATCACTGACTGGGAATGAGCACATCTTAAGATAGAATAGACTTAAAGAAAATCTGTTGGTGATGCTGTGGGATAACACTGAACTGCGAACCACAAGGTCACTGGCTCAAGCCCTCCAGCTGCTCCATGGGAGAAAGATGAGACTTCCCGCTTCTGTGAAATGTACCAGCCTCAGCATGAGTCAGAACCAACTTGACGGCACACAACAGGGAACTTCAGTAGTTTTTAAAAATTGTTTATTGTTGTTGTTAAATGCCATTGAGTCTGTTCCAACTCTTAGCAACCCTATATAGGGTTTCCAGGACTTCTGGTGTGGTGCTGTAGGATCAGCACTGAGCTGCAAACCATAAAGTCAGCAGTTCAAACCCACTAGCTGCTCCTTGCAAATCGTATACAGGGTTGCCGTGGTTTGGGACCGACTCCATGGCACTTAACAACAGCAACATAAGGTTTCAAGGCTTTGTGAGGAGTCCTGGTGTGGCACTTATAGGATAAGCACAAGGGCGGTGGTTTAAACCCACCACTTGCTCCTGGGAAACCGTATACAGGAACTGACTCAGCACTCAACAGCAACAACAGCACATCTTTGCAGGAGTGACTGGTGTGCTCAAACTGCCAACCTTATGGTTCACAGTTCAGTGCTTATCCTACAGAGCCACCACACTCCCCTTTTAGACTGCAAAGCTGTTTCAACTGCAAGGCTGGCAATTCAAGCTCACCAGCTGCTCGGAAACCCTATACTGGGTCGCTATGGGTCAGAATTGACTTGACGGCAATTCACAACAACAAAAACACCAGTAATTTCTTCTTTGGAGTAATGTTCTCACAGCTCTCTGAGCAGCAGTTGTTGTACAATGATAATAGTATAAATAATGTTAACTATAAAAACATACCACAAAAGCACTTCCTTAGTGGATGCAAAGTAAATCTTGTATGTAGTTGGTGACTAAAGGTATAAATTTATAAAAAATATGTAAAGCTGATATTCCAGGTTTAGTTTAAAATTTCTTTACATTTACTTTAAGAGTTGAGAGCTTAGGTTTAGAAATGTAAATTGGGAAATTCAAATTTGGACATGAAATTTTTATAATAGTATGTTTACATTTTTTCATGATGAGTAAAGTAGCATGTAAGTAAGGGAAGACATTAATTTTATATAGAAATTGGACAGTTAAATGGAGGTGCAGTTTCAGTGTATTCTACTTTTTTTTTTTTTAATGTTTTATTATGAATCATATGATAGCTTACATGGGAGACCATTGGTTTTACATTAATTCTATCATATATTCATATATCGTTTCATTGCCATAGTTACAATCCCGTCCATGCATCATCAACTAACCGAAGGGTGTATCCTGCAAGCCTGCCCACCCCCGGGGTCATCAGCACACAGCCCCTTTCCCTCTCTGGATCT